TACGTAACACAATAGAAAGATTTAAAAAGTTTGCATATCTAATAGATTAAAAAATTAATAATGTGACCCACGAAAGAGCTATTATTTAAAGCCTGTTAGAGTACCCCCTCCATTTTTTTTATTTTTTGGTAAAATAACTCCAGGTTTTGATGCATTGTAGTAGAACTCTTCTAGTTACATACGCAAAAGACAAATTTTAGGAAAGTGTCATAGTTTGCAAATGGGGGGGTGCTGCCCCCAATGGGGGAACTTTGACCACCTGATGGCAGCCGTGACGGGGTAACATTGACCGGCTTGGAAGTTAAGTTAAAATTACCATAGGTACCTATACAGCAATCCCTTGATTAGCACGGTTTTGAATACCGCGGTTTTGATTAACACGGAAAAAAAATTTGCGACCTACCCTTAATCTACGCGGTGCCAGTTTTGATTAGTGCGACTTTTTTTCACAATGCATCATTTTCCCGCCTCTAGCCAGAGGTGTTTAGTCTTATATATGGTAATTTTAACTTAATTTCCAAACCGGTCAATGTTACCCCATCACAGCTGCCATTAGGTGGTCACATTTTGCCCATTGGGGGGCGGTACCTCCCATTTGCAAACTATGACACTTTCCTATAATCTGTCTTTTGCATATGTATCTAGAAGAGTTCTACTACAATGCACCACAACCTGAAGTTATTTTACTAAAAAATAAAATTGATTTTACCACCTGGTCAAAGCAACCCCAAGAGCTGGGGTAACAAAGATCATCACTTTTTTTGAAATTTCATCAAAACTATGAGAGGCAGGAGCCAGCAATTTATGGTGAGTAAAGCTAGAGTATAGACCTGTATTTTGCATGTTTCAATTCAAGTTTAACTTATCTAGTAAAAAAATGGCATCATTTTGAAAAAAAAAGTGGTCAAAGTTACCCCATTTTACGGTATCAAGATTAATCTCGGTTCACTGCAGACTTTGTTGCTGAGCGTATAATTTGCTCTGTTCTCATGACAGGTTCATCTATTTGTTGTCCAGAAGTGATTCATTGCTTATAATGGGGTACTCTTCTCAGTCAGAGAGTGCTTGGAATCTTGGATAGAATGTAAATTTTCTCAAAGTGCAGTATTGACAAAATCACTTCATTTATGCTCCATTTATAAACAAGTAAGTTTTGCGTCTTGGATGGTGGTTTTCATTTTGTTTATTATCATTTTGATGACAGGACTCATCAATATTTACGTGGGCAAATTATCAGGTTTGCGCAGGCAACCTTATCTTCAAAATCATCTGAATCCATGTAAGATTATGCTGAGTATTTTCATTGAATGACAAATTGATAACAAAGCTTCATTGTCATCCTACTCTACTAATATATCATGAAATTCTGGCAAGGTTCACTTGCGATATGAATATTTGTACAGATAGGTATGAATATATATTTATATATGTTATAAATATCACATTCAAACTTCATTAAAATATCTTATTATCAGCTAGATGTTGACTTATTTTCTTATAAATAATACATGTAGAACATGAGGTAGCCTTTCATCTCCAGTCTCCACATTCATGCAAAAATACAGTTTTCATGTCATGAATGCCAAGTGGCAACTTCAGTTACCACAATGTATTATTTAGCTTATATTATCTTTAATATCAATGTTTAGTGCCATTTATGAGTATTTTCTGATTACTAGACTCCAAATCCATCATTTTAACACATAAAATAGTAAAATATTTACTTGCAAACAATTTAAACATAGCCTTTTCAGTGGGCTGGTGGTAATGGCTTGATCATTAACATCGTGACCGCCAATAGTTGGAAGGTCAACTAACGGAAGCGTGAGTGACCGAGGTGAACAATTCTTGTTCAGTAATTATATGGAACGTATATGATGCAGTGTAAGACTGCAAAACTGAATTTTATCATATATTATGAATGAGAAAATAATTTTTTTGAGGTGGCTACTAAAGTTGCCAATAGGTTTCAAGTTGTAGCACTAGATTGTCCAGCAGCAGGGTCTTGAGTGACAGCCCTTGCAATGGATTTATTAACATTTGACTCAGGTATCTTGTGATGAGTGGTGTAACACTTGAACCTGCTAAATGACATTTTGCAGTTTTACAGGTTCTGGAGGTGGCCATACTTGCTGATAACATTGGTTGACTTGATAGACTAATATTGCATTTGACTCATGGCATCTTTCGCAACTAGAGAAAAGGGAACCATTCCACTGTATTCTATTTGTCTGACTTAGTGACATGTGTCAATAATTCGAAATGGCCACCTGAACTTGTTTGGAAAGCATACCAAACTTGTACAATTCTTGCGGAAGCCGCGATTAAAGGCTAGACAGCAACATCATTCACTCAATATTACATTGCCAAATCTGCCCACCAATTTGATGGCCAAATTAGTTTGGCAGTTGAATGTGGCCACATTGTTGCCGGGTGGATGTCTCACATTGCGGGTGAGGTAACCGTGTTACCTACTTTGAGTTTCATTTGGCAACAACCCTTCAATCTAGTTTGATAAAGGTGAATGAAAGACTGGTGTCTTATATCTTGAATTGAAGTAAAAATACAGTGAAAATGATGTACAGGAGAATAGCTAATAATTGAGTGCTTATGGGACAGTGTAACGAGTGAACTGCGTTCAGGAGTTATGATTTATGATTAGGGATAGGGAAAGGGAGCATGGACAGGGTTATTGGTCATTCCATCATTGGTGAACTGAAAAACAAATAATACAAAAATCAACAACCTGTCCAACTAAATAATAATACTAAGCCTGAAGGGAATTTGAATGTTAAAACTGATGCTATAAATATTTGAAATAGATTATTAATTGATAGCAAGCTGGTTGCATGCAGCAAGCAAGAAAATATGAAAAACAAAACTGACAAACATTATAATATTTGGAGTGAAATGGGGAAACAATTGCAAAGATAAGCTCAAACCAGAACCAAGAGAAACCACTCAAGTAATTGGTAAAAGTTGTGAAGTTTTTAAGATAAATATACTCTGAAGTCCTCCTCTTCCTTTGTAGATGATGTAAATGTAGAATAGGTAAATGAAATTTTCTGTGATTTTACTTGGTTTTTCTTCATTGATATTATATTACCTTATCCATACATTACTGTCAAATGGGGTAAAAAGGGACAGGCGGGGTAAATCAGGACGCGCATCCAACATTTCGTAGAAATGTTCTAGCAGCTAAACTAATCAAAATATTGCAAAACTAAAAATAGTGGTGTAAGCTTCAACCTTTTTACTATCTATTCTGTATAAAGCTAGTCAAGAAATCAAACATTTACTGTCTCTAAAAAATCGCTGAAAAAAAGTGTGAGAAGTGCGATTTTGGAAAGTACCCCTGCTAAGGTCTGGAGCAAAAAAAATATTTGCTGTATTAAAAAAGTTTACTTACATAAAAGTTGAACACAGGTGTTTGCTTGAAAACGTAATTGACGGAATTTTCATTACTCATTAAAAAAAATGGCAGCCATTTCTGCATGATGGGGTAATTAGGGACACCCCCTGGGGTAATTAGGGACAACCCCCAGGGTAATTAGTGACAACCCTAAAACACATTTACAGCAGATCCTCTGTTAGAAAAGGCCACAGTTAAGGTAAATATGGGTTAATCACAAAGATTTTCACTCAAATTTTAAATTTAGGCTAAAATTTAAATTTAAATAAAACACTCTGCATGTTTAAAATACTTTAAATTAAGTTTTATTTCAAGTGTCCCTTGTTACCCCATTTCCAGATTAATTCAGGAGCCTTTTATATTGCATCTGGCACCTTACAAACAGCATATGGAATTTTTTTGAAGATGCTATATGATAGCCTTTGCAAAATCCTTTTAAATGAGCCTAAACTTGTTTGAGAAATGTTTCATGGTAAGAAGTTATTAACAATAAATGCTGAAAACCGTCCCTTTTTACACCATTTGATGGTACTGTTAGTAATGGACGAGTACACTCTGCATGCTTCAAACATTTTAAAATTAGGTTTTATTGCAAGTGTTTCAGATTACCCCATTCCCTAGGGTAATTCAGAACCTTTTTATTTTGTGTCTGGGGCCTCATGCATAGCATATGGTTTTTTTTAGAGATGCCATTCGATATCCCTCGCAAAGAGCTTAAAAATGAGCCCAAACACGTTTCTGAAATGTTTAATGGTAAGAAGTTTTCAACAAAAAACACTCAAAACAGTCCCTTTAGGGATACCCCATTTGACGGTATACCTAAAACTTGTGGAAAAAATATCAGTAAGAATTAGTATTGGTGCAGGACATGTTATTGTCTGGGTCAGTGCAGAGACCATCTTGCTTGCTACCACGTTGGCTCTATGTTCTGTAGCAAAGGAAAGGACTGCAGTCAAAGCCTTGGAAAGCATTAAGTGGTAAAATATATGTGCCTTAGACTGAAAAACATGACTTAGATCATAACATATTTATCAAGCACTGTAGAAATTTACCTCTAGCGGGTATATATCTCCAAACATAGTCACTTCTATCTCTAAGCATTGCCGGGCATATGCACAAATATGATCACACTATTTTTTGCCATCTTGCATTTGCTTCAAGTAAATGGCATCATAATCAGTCGATAAAGCAAGTTTTTGAATATGATACTCGCAAATATGGACTTACCTACAGTTCTTTGTGGGCTAGAGCTGCTAAAGCTAAAGTGAATATAATGAGGGCCCAAAATGACTTTTTGCCATTTCTCCAGAGTACTTTGTTCCCCCAAGAGTACTTACTGTCCCAACACTAAGTCATACATGATGTAACTCACACATGATCTGTGATTGGTTGGAGCTTGTTGATGTGCTGCCAAAAGCAATGTGGGTGATGTGGGGGGCCTTTTTTCAATAACATTTTTAAAATTGCAGGCAGTCGTCCAGAAAGATGATATTGTGGTGTCATATTTGAAAAAGCTGTCTTCGATATAGGAAATGTAAGGTTATAAAAAGAAATGTAAAGAAAAATTAATCTCTTTCTCTCTTATTTATAATAGTTACAGGCTATTTAGTCAATAAAATGATCAAAATACAAATGTGCTGCATTCATTAGTGTCAGTAATCTGTAATTCTCATATGTGATAATAGCTGGACATATACGGAAGGTTCCAGAGTTAAGCTACATTAATTTAGCAAAACAGCTGTCAGGGGAAGAGGTTGGAGTGCAGAGCAGAGCTGAAGCAGGAGATTTCTGGAACTTGAAGAGACAAATCCGATGGTAGGCCAAACAATATTTTTTAATATGTAGCAGACTACAAATCAGGCTTTTTCCTCTTGTTATTGCAGGCTTTTTTCCTCTTATTTAAAATGATAAATGATAGTTTGATCTCGGTTCAGATTTAGCGCAATAAAATAAGCCTGAATATATGGGAAATTACCAACTATAATTTTTTCTGTACTCAACATCATAAGTTTATGCAAAATTTAAATGCAGGCTTGTAATGAAATGCTTTGATGAATGCCTTTCTCAGTCATGGAAGCTACCAGTCAATCTCCAGTTCCCAAACTTGAAGCTAACCTCATAAAAGAAGAGTTTGGGGAAGAGATAGAAGAGATGGAAAATGTGGAAGAAATGCAAGACATAGAAGAGATGGAGGGGCTGCATCTTAAGAAGGAGCCATTCACATATGATGTTAAGGTAATATTTATAAGTAAATGTATAGACTCCGCTGAAATGACTAGTACCTTTTGACTCTTATTCTCATGTGTTTGTATTGATATTATATATTTACTATTGATTCATTATAAAAGTGAAACACAATCATTTAATAAATTCAATTGTAAACATTTGCATATAATTTATTTGGATTTGAAAAATTGTCTCAAATTATGTAGAAATACGCACTGTCAAACGGGGTAAAAAGGGACGGGCAGGCTAAATAGGGACGTGCGTCCCACATTTCGTAGAAATGTTGTAGCAGCTAAACTAATCTAATCTAAATATTGCAAAACTAAAAATAGTGGCATAAACTTCAACATTTTTACTATCTATTATGTATAAAGCTTGTCAAGAAATCATACATTTACTACCTCTGCTAAGGTCAGGAGCAAAAAAATATTTGCCATATCAAAAAATTTTACTTACATAAAAGTTGCACCCATGTGTCAGCTTGACAACGTAATTGACAGAATTTGCCTATCTCATTCCAAAAAAATATGGCAGCCATTTCCGCGCCACGGGGTAAAAAGGGACACCCCACGGGGTAATTAGGGACACCCTTAAAAATGCATTTTGACAGTATTCTTCCATTAGAAATCAATAAATAAAATCAAGTAGAATTGTAGAAACCAAATAATAAAATTGTAGAAATCAGTAATTGTAGAAATTGATCAATCAAGTAGAAATCAATTATAAAACTGTCATCTACTCTTATTTTTATTATATCTGCTCTTTCCATGAATATTTAAGAGATGTCTTGAACTATGCTGACAGGCTTTCATGTGTGAGCCTCCCAGCCCTGGCAGTGATGGCCTACCAGCCTCACCTTCCTTATCCTGCTTGCCGGTCAAGATGGAAATTAAAATTGAGGATAATGAACATGTATATAATGAGGATAATGAATATGAAGCGCCTCAACACATCTTGCCCATCTCTGCTGTTCCCGGATTAGTTGTGAGTAGTTTTGTATTGAATAAATGGGGAAAAAAATTTCAAACTGGTTGTGGCTAGTTCATTCCATACATGGGGAATAACCATTTATGGTGATAAAAAGTGGGACATAATAAGATGGTGCAACTCTACTACGCCCAAATGAAATCATGTAGATAGAATATGCAACTCGTTACAAGATGGCCTGGATGTGTGTGTGATTAATGCTTGGTTATCCAACAGACAATAGTGCAGTTGTCTGGAGAAACTGAATAATGTGCAAGAGTAGTATATCTTAGGATTGCCCATGTTTCTCATGTATAACCACCTGGAAAAGTTATACACAATAAATTGACCTTTAACAGGCAGTTTACCATATATGATCACTTGAAATAGTCTCACAAAAAGCCCCACCACGGCTTCCTGTTTGTTTTTTAGGCTTCCTTATCATGCCTCAGTCAACACTAATTATCTGACTTATCAGTCCATCCATAGCCCCACCACCTGCACTGTCCACAAATTAAAATATGAGCATTTAAATGAAGGTTTTGCCTTGGACATTGGAATTGACATGCTTTCCGCATTTTTTCAAATGGTGGAAATATAAATATATATTTAATTATTTCAGGTAACTAGATTAAATTGAATTAAATTAAATTGTTATTTTAATAATTTTTCATTTGCATAACTTGAGTTTTAATTATAAATAAAAATTTTGTGTTCTAACCTCATTTAATGAATTCTTCAAGTGCCATTTAAACCTTCAATGGGCAAAATTTTAAAAAATATGTACGAATAAATATTTTGTATAATACTTCTTACTTTCTTGAAATGTTTTCATAAAATTTTAATTTCTGGAAATTTCAATGCTTGCCCGCTAAAGGGTTAAATTGATTTAGGGAATAGTTTTGATAATTGTCCAAAGCAACAAGGCATAGTGGCAAACCACAGATTTTTTAGAATCAGTTCATTTTCAATTTCCTCATCCAAAGATTAAACCCAATTAATTTACTGTATATTGGATGATAATGCTGGTATCCATGATACAAAATGATGATGTGTATTGCCACCCAGGTAGACCAGACTACAACCTTGAGGATGGCAATGCTGTGCAAATGAGAGTATGACTATTGGCGCAATATACGTCATGACTTTCTGAAGTGCTACGTACTAAACATTCTGCTACTACTACTATCACTTGATTACTGTCATGCATGTTTGACTTAACCTATAGCCTCATGTATATAGTAGGGTAATTACCCTCCTAAGTTGAAAATGATCTTTACATTTAAGTTAATTTTCAATGCTGCTTGTATAAACATTGAAATGTGCGTAACAAATTGAAAATTTAATATTTTGATTATTTTTAAGTAGAATTTTGAAACTAAAAACACAATCACATTTATATTGTGAATTTTACCAAAGGTAGCACATTGTCATTCATTTATGTAACATGTTGATTTATAGAAAGCCCTTATTCAATATCAATTGAATAATAGGCTAACTTTCTAGAACTGAAAGTTGAATTCACTTGAAATGAATTCATTTACATCTGCTGCTCTGGTGCATTTTGCACAAGCCCATTCCTGTGAGTGTTTATAAAGATTTTCTTCAATGCTGAAAATCATGTTAGACACGACTGCATGATGCAAGTGAAAATCACATTAATAAACTGAGAAGTTTCATGAAAGTTTAGTTATGATCACTGAAATAGCTGAACAAATTTTTTTATATCATTTATGAAGACTGCTCAACGCTTTAGTTTTTCTTAATTCAATATGTTATGGAGGCAATGATATCTTTCTCTGTGTCAATGGTTTTTGCAAATCATTTTCTGTTGTTCACCACACATGTGTGCTGGTGAGTTAGTCATTAATCACAAACTTTGGGAAGTTTCTCCCATTGCATTTATGGTATTATATTGTTCCACTGTGTCGCTTTAACAATGTCCAGATATGCAGTAGGAAAAATGTGTTGTGCAAGGCTAAATTCTTGATTGAATGAAACATGAACATCCAACTTGAGAACTATTTGGAATATCGTCTCCATTGAGAGGATCTGCAAAGCTGTAATTGTATTCTGAATCATAGTTTTTATACAGTATCATCATAGTTTTTTATATAGTATCATCGTGATTTTCATTCTTAAAATGAATACTGCAAGCTTATATGGATTCCTGCTGGTTTTGAACTGTGATTAATCTTTCTTGGATCCACGAGTGTTGCTGCATTTTGGTTTACGTTTTCCAGCATTTGGAAATTTGCCACATTCATCCTGTTTACTCCTTTTCATTTAATTATTGTTGAATCCAAAGTTTCTTCTCATATTTGCCAATTTGAAACTTCTTACAGTTTGCCTCCGCATGATAAGATTAGGCTTTAACACTCATCTTAGGGATGACTAGTCTGGTCATTTTCATTGATTATGAAGAACCCTCTAAAGTCAATCTTTGCTTGTCCTTCATGGTTGAACCTAAATGTGCTCAGTTTTGGTACTGGACATTCAAATACATTAGATTTTTTATAACTATTTTATGTTTGTAAATGTGTTTGAACTATATTCTTTTTTGTAATGAGATTTATATGCACATTAATGCTGGAGCCAATGATCCACAAATCATGCCTTAGTAACAGTATAGGTAATTTTCTGCAAGTATTGTTTCTGAAGATAAATTATTGTTAACACTACCTTATGTCCTCAGGATGTCAAAAGATGGCCATCATCTGAGGAAGCTCTTGAAGTCGCTGGTGGCAGCGGTGGCCATGCTGGGGCATCCAGTTCCAAACAGCAACTGACAATCCAACATCAGCAGGAGGCCTCTCTAGATGATCATACTACCTCGCACCCATACTCATGCTCACAATGTGAATTTAGTTGCAGTTCTAAGCAGAAACTTCAGCAACATACTCGATTGGAGCATTCACAAAAGAAACCTTATCGCTGTCCTGAATGTGAAAAAGAGTTTCCCTTGAAACGAAGCTTCAATGGTCATATTTTATCCAAGCATCCTTCTATGGTGGAAAAACGTCATCACTGCCAACAATGTGAATATTCATGTGTAACTAAAAACCGCCTGAAAAATCACATTCTTTCCAATCATTCGGTGGAAAAGCCGTTTCGTTGCTCAGAGTGTGATTATTCATGCGTACATAAATGTATTCTAAAGAAGCATGTTCTTTCTAAGCATTCAGGGGAGAAACCCTTTTGCTGCTTGGAGTGCGATTATTCTTGTGTAGATAAATATGTTCTGAAGAAACATGTTTTTTCTAAGCATTCATTGGAAAAACCTCTTCGCTGCTTGCAGTGTGATTACTCATGTGTCAGAAAAATCAGTCTGGAGACCCATATTCTTTCTAAGCATATGTCAGAAAAACTTTTTCATTGTTCAGAGTGTGAATATTCTTCTGTAACTAAATATAATCTGAAGAATCATATTGCTGCCCATCATTCGTTGGAAAAGAATTTCCACTGCTCACAGTGTGAATATTCATGTGCCACTGAAAACCTTATGAAGAAACATGTTTTCTTTAAGCATCGAGCAGAGAAACCTTTCCGTTGCTCGCAGTGTCAGTATTCCAGTTTGTATAAGACAAAACTGAAGAACCATTTTCTTGCTAAGCATACGTCAGAGAAACCTCTTCGCTGCATGGAGTGTGAATATTCTTGTGTTTATGATACCAATATGAAGAACCACATTCTTTCTAAGCATTCAAATTCACTGCAAAAGCCTTTTAGATGCCCAAATTGTGAACACTCTTCTTCCTCAAAAACAAATTTGAAGATCCATATTATTTCAAAACATTCTTCGGAGAAGCCTCATCGCTGTTCAAAGTGTGAATATTCTTGTGCGGATAATAAAAAGTTAAAGTATCATTACCTTTATAAGCATTCTACAGAAAAGCCACATCGTTGCCAAGAGTGTGAATTTTCATGTGTCAGCAAATCTATTCTCCAGAGACATGTTATTTTTAAGCATTCATTGGAGAAGCCTAATCACTGCACACAGTGTGAATTTTCTTGTGTAGACAAAAGCAATCTCCAGAGACATATTCTCTCTAAGCATTCAACAGAAAAACCTCTTCACTGCCCCTTGTGTGAATATACATGTGTCGCAAAAATCCACCTTAAGTCGCATATTTTTTCCAAGCATTCAACGGTGAAGCCTTTCCAATGCTCGCAGTGTGAATATTCTTGTGTCACTAACACCCATCTTAAGTGTCATTTTCTTTCTAAACATGCACTGGAGAAGCCTTTCCGCTGTTCGGAGTGTGAATACACTTGTGTCTGGAGACGAAACTTAGCTCGACATGTCCAGAAAATGCACTCCAAAGAAAAATCAAGTCAGAACGTGTAAAATTACTTCAGTGAGTGAACATTATTTAAACATAATTTCTATCTTCCATTTTCCAGATGAGTTATTCACTCTGGATTGAGAGTGAAGAGCCAAATTTATACAAATTTCGTTCCCAAGTCTATTATTGCCCAAAGTTTTTGCGATGACTGTTGACATCGCTTGTACCGGAAATACTGGACATGAATTCACCTCTGAAATAGTATTTGGGATTAATTAATTTTCAATGCTTTTATTCGTTCATTTACAGGAAAACAATCTAGCAAGACCGCAACAGAAATGTATTTTATTAAGAAGCGTTCACTGTGCAAATAACATCTAGTTGTATGCTGATTATTTTCACTATTTCTAGGATTTATATGAAGAGATATTCATATTGGCTGCACGATATTGCATTTGTTGTGTTTTCAAAAGTGTACAGGGTTATTCTAAATGAATCCAATTTAAGACAATCGTATTTACTCAAGTATAAATTCAAAATTAATAATTTATACAGCAATTGAATGAGAAAGATTGGAATTTTTTTAACCCATTCGGAATTGGGCGGCGGTGGTAGTTGAATCAAGCAAACTTTTTGAATCAGTCACTTCCTGAGCGTTGTGTAGAACGCATAGGAAATGAAGATCTGGCTCTACACTTCTGGCCACCGAGATCACCTGAACTCACCCCATGTGACTATTTCTTAAGGAAGTGACTATTTGTCACTTTCCATGAGACTATTTCTTCTCACCCCACTACTTATTCATCAAGGAAGCCGTTTACGTCCCGCCTCTGCCAGCAACTCTGTTTACGTCCCGCCTCTACCAGCAACTCTGTTTAGGTCCCGCCTCTACCAGCAACTCTGTTCCGTTGAAAAGCGATAAAGCTGAAAGCGCTTGCATTAAGATCGTCAAGAATGTAAAATGTTCCTCTCTGGCATGACTTTGTGGATACCCGGAATAATTCGATAGCCTGGGAGCGATGTTCTTATCGGCCGAGGGTAGAGGAACAATACGTCGTTTTCTAAGGAAATATATCTTAAGTTTATAGGCATTTATTGTATATGCATAGAAGCAAGCAAAGTTTAGTATAAATAGCATAATAATAGTTTTAGTATAAATTTAGTATAATTACAAGTTCTTCTATGATTCATACCTCGCAAACATGCGCTCCTACTCCGTAGACGCCTGCTGGCGGCTCAGTAGAAACTTTCAATGTGGACTAGAAATATTATTAAACTATAGCTTCGACTAATCGTCGTAGTTGATTAAGAATTGAGAGTTTGGTTCTAATGGGATAACGGTGGGATTCAAAATTTTTTCAGTGTTCTATTTTTTTAATGTATTTGTAATTATATTTTGAGGGTGGAGGTGTTCTACCTTTTGCTGAATTATATTACATGTATACCGTGTTTCATTTTGACCCTCGTGCACCCTTATTGCCACGATGAATTCCTAGCGAAATTTTGTTCAAATTACAAAACAACGAAGAAAAATAAAGTAAAGTCATTCGATAAATACAGGCATGCGAGATTTTTATGAGCGAAATTTCTTATTTTTTGAGATTGCTGAAAGTTGCCATAGGATGTAGAATTTTGTAACAAGATTTGTTCTAAGCTTCAAATATTTAGGCGAATGAGTATTAGTGTCTGGCTGTAGCAGCGATTGTCCCACGTAGTCTGACCAGCAGCCTTTACGTTTATCGTGCAGTTATCCGAAAATAAATGTGTTGCGGCACATTTAATTAGCATACATATATTAAAAAAAGCCATGGTATCGTCCAGATTCATGATGCTGTATGAAAAGTGTTGGAAGTGAGCATTAAAAACATTGTCCAGTTAATTTTCCGAGTACTCATAAGCATCATTTCAATTACATACAATTTGAAACAAGAACCAAAACCATAAAGTAAAAACAGCGTTGTAACACATCCATGCAACAACATTTCTTCTCGCTTCGAGTCACCGACAAGTGGAGCAGCCTCCCTGAGAGCATCGTAGAAGCTCCGAGTATGAACATCTTCAAGAACGGACTAGACGAAGCTATGCAGGAGCATATGTTCAGTCTTAAAATGCCTAGCAAATTACGGACCAGGCAATAAGTCCAGACGAAGCTATGCAGGAGCATATGTTCAGTCTTAAAATGCCTAGCAAATTACGGACCAGGAAATAAGCTATCTCAATCAATCGTCAGCTATAGAAAGATCGGGTTCCAACGGCCGGATCCCTTGTGAATCAAGTCATGAAAAATTCAAGAATCGGTAACAGGCCATGGGCCTATTTCTTCAGTGCCGCCGACACTTCTATTCTATGACTCGAAATGTTGTACATCCTGGATAATTAACAGTATCAATCTACGATAACGTGGTTCTAATTGCCTCTTGCACGTCACTGCTATGAAAAAGCGTTTATTAAGGCGAGCCTGTCCATCTTTGAACAAAGAATACAAAGACTGTACATGATAACGAGTTTGACATCAATAGAAATGCAACAGTTCAGGGAGGCGATTAGGCTACGTCTTCGCTTCAAGGATAATAATGCCTACTGCACATCATAATGCGATAGTTGTGCTGGCTGTCTGCTACTCATGTATTAGCCTTGTTTGAGACAACCACAATACATCAATATGAGGGAGCGGCTCACAAAAACATGAAAAAAGCTGGTGTATACTTTATGACGTCATTATATTACATTTGTCAATGTAAACGACAAAACGTAACGCAATCTGCAAAGTGGTTTTGAACGTGTGAGATGGCACAATGCGTAAGATGTGATGCGGCACTGTGCCCTTTGAATGAAAATGCGTCAGTTTCGACAGCTGTGTATGAGAACAAAAGCACGATCAGTTTAGGTACAAGGGGCTGGTGACCTTCACAGTGTAGGAAATGTCGCGATATAATTTGTCACAGAAAGGATTCCTGCCTTGTATTAATATTAACCAGGGGCTGTGCTATCATAATTCGCTGAGTATATATAGAGTCCCAGTTCATGTAGCGGCCCAAGAACATAGCATTCCAAGTAGGCATGAATTACAAATGAGCTATCAGTGAAAACTGAAAACAAATTTAGACAAAAATATTTCTGGCACTCAGACTGGAACTACGAGTGTCCAACTTATATTATCTATATTACTTATATTATCTATATTATCGATAAACTTATTAAACAGCAGCAACATCATGTAATAAGAAATATAATAAATATCGACATTATTTCCGTAAGAAATATAATACAGGTACATATCAGCACTATGCAATAAACAATTCAGTACATACCAGCATTACTCAAAAAGAGTACAATACATATCAGTATTATGTAATAAGCGAAATAATACACATCAGCATTATTTTCTCCTGGTATTCGATCACGCTCCAACAAAGCATTAGTCAACGTTGGCGGGTATACCTTTATTGAGCTGTCATTATCAGGTAACGAAGCCACGGTCGAAATAATCTCCTTACATGTTATTGCAAGTCAGAACGGCTGATACGGCATTAAATCTTTTTGATACGCACACGTGCTGCAAATAGAGTAAGTATTGCACCAGAATATTATTATTAATTTATATTTATCTTATATTGCACCTTAAGATAAATTATAAAGAACTATGGAATGACTTTCTTGTATAAACCTCATGATTTAGCATGAGTATTAGGAAAGCGTACGTACGTTTTTAATCCCACTTCTAACTTCGATCTCGTCAATATCATGAAGCAATAGCAGTGTTATGGACACCCATCATTCTGAAGCTTTCAAACCGAACTACACTGCAGTCATCAACACCGAGGAAAAAGGTCTCGCTCATCACTAATCTCCTAAATATAAAGTCATTATTTAACTGCAAGATGCGGAAGGAGCAGCATTTGCTGCTCAGCAAGACGAAGGAAATGAATAACAAAAACAAAGACATTATTGCCATAAATGGTGACACCAAACCTTGCCCCGCTCGCACGAACGACAGAGAAGGCGAAGGTAAATAATCCCGCACAACAAGCAACGTTACAAAGAGCTTTACTTGAAGCTTACGACCAAGTCTGAGGCTTGGAGGTAGGAAAAGGATGAAGCTTTTCATTCAGTTCTTGGGTCAAAGTATTGAACTCTGTATAAATAACAGGTCGTTACAAGCTATAAATCTAATGCAAAGTAAACAATTATAAACATCCCAAGTAAATTCGGCTATCGAACAGAAGCAATTAGTACAGAATGGCAGTTCCTACACTTGAGTACTTACTCTAATAAGTAGTTCTGGTGCAATGAAGCAAAATACTTTAACTTTGAATGAAGTCAACTACTGTCGTGTTCAAAGTGGCGACGTTCACCTTCAGACAAATCTAATTTTTACTTTTAATTTCAAAAATATATATTTTATTAACAGAATCTTGAACGTAGATGCTACACACTCATACTGGAGCTCTAAAAAATAAAAATTGAAATGCAAAATCTAAGAAAATTTTAGACCAGCTACGATGCACGCCATCAGAACACGTAAGAGGCTATTTGCCACAATAAATAATAAGCCTTATAGGTTATTTTGAACGACAAACACAGTGGCTGCAAGTATACACAAATCTTCTTGATGTAGACATTTAACCTACATGTAGGCTATGTAGCCTACATGAATAGTCTACATGTAGGTATGTAGGCTATTACCTAGGATGATTCTACAGAGAGCAGCCAACTACATGGAAGATTAATAGCAGCTTCGTCATGATCAAAAAACTCAATATAACAATCATCTTACATATTGGGTGCTTCGAAGCATCAGTAAACAAGCAGTAGCACATAGTTTACCGTTGTTATAAACAATTCATTTGATTTGCAGCACTTAATGAATGTTTTGCCTCCTGGTGCTTGTTGAAGCGATACTTGGTAGCAGCAACATAATCACACAATTTGCATTTAAGTCCTTTTCCCAACCCATGCTTAGTTAACATGTGCACATTGAGGTGAGTTCTGTTAGCTGTGCTATGGTCACATAGCTCACATTGCAGCCGTTTTCCTATGCCGTGCACAGCAATACAATGCGCCTTTAGACCATGCCAGTGGATATCAACATGATCACACAACCTGCATTTTAATCCATTTCCTATGCCATGTTTAGAAAAAAGGTGCCTCTTGAGATTCCATTCTAAGGCAGTCTCATAATCACACAACTTGCAATGGAATCCATGTCCTACATTATGTTTGGAAAAAAGATGCCTTTTGAGATTCCATTCCGCGGCAGTTTCATAATCACACAAATTGCATTTGAGTGAAGTTCCTTTACCATGCTTGGAAAATATATGCACTCTGAGAGTCCTTTCCTTAGCTGTGGCATAGTCACACAAATTACAATAGAATCCAGTCCCCAATCCATGTTTAGAAAACATGTGTTGTTTCATAATCTTGTTATCAGCAGCAACATAGTCACATTTCTCACATGGCAACTGCTTCCCTAAACCATGTTTAGAACTTTGGTGGATTTTGAAATTGGCTTTTATAGCCGTGGCATAACTGCACAGTTCACATTTCAACCTATTTTCTGTGCTATGTTTATAAAGCATGTGAGCGCTAAGGTTCCACTTTGTTGAAGCAACATGATTACATAAATTGCATGAGAATAAATTTCCTTCACCATGCTTAAAAAAACGATGCATTTTGAGACTCTTTTTTGAATCAATGACATAGTCACAAGACTTGCACTTGAAATCATGCACAGCACGTTTGGAAAAATCATTTATTGCTACATGTAGATTGTTAGCAGCGACATGGCCGCCAGACTCCTCAGAAACAGACATTCCTTCACTGCTATTTAATTTCCCAGCAGCCTTTTGTTCTTCCTGACCAGCGTTGACCAGATCCTGGCATGACGTGTCAACCTGAAGAAGGAAAGCAAAAGCAGCTTCATGAATATATATTTCAGTTCAGGAAGATTACCCAAAATTGATGTAATTTACTTGCATAGTTGAATGAAGTACACATGTACATCAATATATAAATGAAGAATACATATTATGTATATCAATATAGGTATGTATGAAGTACCTGTACATGTGTATATCAATAGCTTGCTCAAACTGCAACTTAACTAAGAACTCAAAGGTAAGACAATGACAACTAACTTCACCATATTTTCAACGGAAAACTTCAGGAGAACATCTCCATTGTAAGTTCGAAAAATAAAAGTAATCCAAGTATAACCAATAGAAAAAAATTAAAATGCACAAAATGAGTATCAAAAAATCATCACTTGGCATCTTATTTTACAGGATAAAAAATCATAAAACTTTATGTTCTCCAAACAATTTCTTTTATTTTTTCTTCAACAGGATACCCAGCAATTAAGAAAAAGAAAAAATTGGTGCATACATTGGTCAAACTGTTAACAATGTGAAACAAAGGTATTTTACAATATTGATTAAATAAATATTGCAGCATCAATAAAAGTAGTAATAACTGTTGCATTGAAGCTAATGTGCATAATCTGGCTATAGACATGACATACACTCAGTAATTTAAAGGGACAAATTGTCCACATAGGAACACACACTTTCTTTAATTAGCATTGATTTGCCATTTGCCAGGCCTACTGAGTCAGGAAGACCCAAACAAAGTACAAATATGTACAAAGTTTCACTCATTTCTCTGGGTGCATGAAAGATAGATTGAGCTACACAGTAAAAACAAGACTCAGCCAAACCTTAATTAGGGAGTAAATTTTGAGCAAGCATGATAATATTATAACCAGTTCAATATTATTTAATTAACGTGAAACAAAGCATGTAAATATTTGTATAAGGTGGTACTCATAAATAAAAAGTTTTGCAGTCTATGCTCACTGGTTAATAGGTTAATGAACTTGGCAGAAGTCTATTGTATTTTTAACCACAGCCAGAGAATGAGTTAAAATTGGTACATAGGAAAACCAAAAAACTGAATTGGTTTTAAGTGTAGTTTTGAAAGTCAAAGTCAATGACACCCCAAATGCCTAGTGTCAAAGTCAATGACACCCCAAATGCCTAGTGTCAAAGTCAATGACACCCCAAATGCCTAGTGTAAATATTTATGATAAAACGCTTGCATCATAAAATAAAGTATTTGTTAAGAGCTGAAAAACAAGTAACCTGTCGGTCAGAAGCTGCACCAATGTTCTGCTTGGAGTCTTGGTGGGCGCCTCGGACCTCAACTTGAGCTTCCAGCTTGCATGGCGGGCACGGCAGGCGAGGAGGACTTCGCTGGTGATGATAATCAGGCATCAACCGTCATTAGTTGCCATATGATCCATTAACTTGATTATACCAAAATAATTGGATTGAAATGAAATAAATTTATACAATTCAAATAGGACTACCGGTACTACTATCATAAGCATGATATGAAGGCAATATATTAAATTCATGCATTATAAATAAAAATTTATTTGTACATATTCAAAGCCTGGCATTGGAAATATATACCTAGGTAGGGTCGTTTTGATAGCATACCCACAATACCAATTATGCTGGGATATAATATGGAGCTGAAAATTCATTCTTAGTGGTTGAATCATACAGTATTGTAAAACAAAGGGAGGGTAGCTTGGATTAAAATATATATTTTTGATTAAGTGAAAGAAATTAGCACTCTGGACCAATTCAACATCTCCTTTATTTGCTGTCAGGCAGGAAAGCCAAACACAATTAATTAATTAAAGGCCAAACACAAATAATTAATTAATTAAAGGCCAAACACAATTATTTAATTAAAGGCCAAACACAATTGATTAATTAATTAAAGTCCAAACACAATTAATTAATAAACTGCAGACTTGATCTGGTAGCCTATCCAGCAACTTCACCCTCAGCAGCACTGCAAGGTGGCACCAGGCTGCAGGCTGCTACAACTACACACACCTTATCCTAGCCAAGGTTCATTTCTATAAATTTATTATCTATGTGAAAAATATCCATTAGTGATTGGTTATTACCTATTTCCTTGTCATGTAGTAGCTAAGTAGGATTTACCAAAAGCCAACCTAAGTTTGCAGGGTTAACCTACATGAGGGATGTTAAGGGTGCATTTAATTTATGTAGTCATACTTTTATGGTCAGATATAAGTAGAAGGAGATTGAGGGTTTCATTTAGCCTCTAAAAATTTCCTAAACATTTTAATCTCTTACTGCCATGCCTGCCTTTTTGAGGAGACTTAAAATAATGAAGTGTAAGATGCATGACACTCTGATAATAGATTTTTAAGGGGAGCGTCTACCCTAAAATTGAAAATTTTCACTTTTTCGGTTTTCATACTAATTTTAAAGCTGACATTCTGCCCTATCCAACGGTACCACTGCCATCTCTCTACGTTGATTTATGATTTCACGTAAGCTACGACGAATCGATAGATATGGTCCTTACGCATCGAATGATATGCGTCTTGATGTTGTAGCTTGAAAATTCTAGGAGGAGATAGATTTCTACAGTACCCCCTTTTTTGGCCGTTTTCTAAGATTTTCACATTTTCTTTCATTTTTTTTGAAAAATTGACATGAATAAAAGCTGTCTATTTTTTGATTTTACATATGTGTACCAAGTTTCAAAGTGATCCGTCTGTAAATAGCCGAGATAATTTTTGGGGCAGACGCTCCCCTTAAACAAGAATTCACTCAGATTGAATTCAAAGAAGATGCTGTACATAAGGATTTATTAATACTTAAAGGTATTAAATGACCTATATAAGAAAAAAAATAAGATTGTTCACCTCATGTTCAGCCGTACAAAGCACTTCTGGCTTCACTGATTGTGCCACTTCCTCATCCTCAGGTTCCTCTTTGATGTAAATGGCTGATATTTTTGGAAGAGAAGATGAACCACAGGACTCTATGGGTAAATAGAAATTACATTAGTCAATATTTAATATATTTAGGGAACATTAGGAGGTAGTATTCATACATAACATTGCTAGTCCTAGAGTTCCCTACAGTAGATCTTTACTGTAGAGAATACAGTATGTTCCCTGGTAATTAATTAGTAGTTTCTTGCTAAAGACAAACACAAGTGAATTTTCTAAAATTGATACTTTGATTCAACTTGGCAGAATCCAATAAGATCTAATTAGGATTTCAGGTATTACAAATCTATTTAATATAAAAAAATACTGTAACATATTCATAATAAATCATAAAAAATTGATAATCACTTCATCTTGTTGGAGAGAATGGCAGCATACCTTCAGACTTGATGCTGCAAGCACCAACACACACATCACTGAGGCTCTGCTCAGCACAAGAGTCCCTGATGACTGCAGCATTTGGGACTTGGTGCAGCACCTTGTATGCTTTTATGTTATATGCCATGATGATATGATTGTTCTTAATTGAAGTTCTTATTAAACTTAAAAAAATCTCATATGAAAGTAAACATAACAGACAGTAATCGAGAAAGAAGTAGGTTTGCAAAGTTAGCTCTAAAATTAATTTTATCTGTAAAATAATTTCAATATTCATGCTATTACCACTGGAGAATTGCTGAATTTATTCACATATTGATGATGTCAGAGAGAACAAGAAATTTGGTTTTTGTTCAACATTCAACATTAACATTAACTTCTTACTCGTGGCCTCGTTCACTACCTACACTAGTCTTCTCTCTGCAGCCAACCCGCAAGCAACTCATTGAAATACCCTAAACAAACAATTATCTCAAATTTCAAAAAAATTCCTCAAAAGAAATTTAGATACATGACATAGGGTGATTCACAGGAACTTTCCAATTTGAAAGCTTGATAAGAAAACAATTAGTATAGATATAATCACAATATGAATTCAATTGAAAAGACATTACCTGAATTTTTGTATCACTCACTACAGTAGTAGTTTTAAAGAAGACATTGGACAAATGATGGCCCTATTGTCATTGAAATAAGATAGTTGATTTTCAACGTTCTGTTCTACTCGCAGAACTTCATGGCGGCAGAAGCATATTGACAACCTGATCTTTAGCCGGCCTGATCCCCTACTTTGGTTTTGTGTGATCTTTTATGGGGTTATCTTAAATCAATTGTTTATGATGACTGTCCAAGTACCCTACCTCATTTGAAGAACAACATATGCCAAGCCATCACCAATATACCTGCAAATATGCTTCAGCAAGTTGAACAGAACTTCAAGAATTTAAATACCAAAAATTCTTTAAATGGGTTCTATAAGTAAACCAGTGAAGTATCAGGGATACCAGCATTATCATACAGAAGATATTGACTTAAATCTTGAGTTGACAATGGAATTAAATAAAATATAATAATAATAATAGCGGTTTCAGCGTTTATTAGGCCGTGGGCCTGTCGCCGATTCTTAACATCGCAGAACATTCACAGCATTTTGCGGTCTCGAAATCGCAACTCGCTGCTACAATTCTGCTGTGCTTAACCGCCCGGCCTCCTCGCCGATTCTGACCAGGAAACTGGCGCACAGAGCTAGGATCGAACCCGCGCATCTCTGCGCCAATATCTTGGTACTCTGAACTTTAACCACTGGGCCACCCTTGGTTAAAACTACTTTTTTACTACTTTTAAAAAACTACTTTTTAAAGACAACACTTCTAAAGAATCTAGTGTCTTTGATGTTACACATGTTGTAGTGGTAAGCATTTATACGTTATTAATTTTCTGACAGATTTTGTTTGTTTATTTACATTTTAATTTTACATATGATTTTAGTTTAGAGATATTCATAGCCTAAATCCAGAGAATAGGTTTTACTAATGGCCATTACTGTCCCGGAACCCACAATGGCAAGGTGTGTATACGTGTCGTGTATGTTAGCATTTGAGAATACTCTGCGTGCCATCCGGTCTTAACGAAAACTTTGGCGGGACATAAAAATTTGGATCAAAATGAATAAGTTTATTCAAGGATTTCAGGCCGTTGTTTGCTTCGCTTAATTGCATTTTGGAAGAAACTCATAAAGCTGTTGGAGAACATGCAGGTCCCGCCAACTTCGTTCAACGAAGTGCCAATCATGATATGAATGATGGATACATACGAGTCACATCACCTTAGGAGAAAAATCAGAGCAAAATTCATCAATTTTAGGCCCTTCGTCTTTATTATAATATCAGGCCGCGAAGCTGCTTAGGATCTCAACAAAACACCTTCACTGACACAGCAATGCACGTATTCGCTGCCAGACTTACGGTGTACGAATTGGATATCAGTCGTGGCGGAGGGCAGTTCACATGGAGTGTCACAGAAGCAGATGTAAGTCAACAGTCTCCGGGGCGGCTGGCGTAGCGGGCTTTAGGTCTCCATTGGAATTTCACAGATGAAGCAGCAACTAAATAGTTGAGTGGGACCCATGATGATTAGTTCTGATACGTGCAAGATGGGGTCCACGGGAAAACTGTGACATCCAAGAGAAGCTGTAGCCGAGTGACTTGCAAGTTTGTCTTCACTTCTCCAAATATGCTCCTTTTTCTTAGAAAAGTTGATTAGAAGTGCGGATGAAGAATATATACATTGCCATACCAGGAAGGTGTTTTGTTTCGAATGAAATTTAAATTTACTTCAGCTAAGTAATTTATAGATCAAGTTTATTTTGCAGTCAATTTTTTTTATGCCCCCATGAAGGTTCCCTCAAATATCAAGATATTTTATAGGTCTGTCATTATTCAGCGTACATATATTCTAGTAAGGTATTGTATATATTGATCAGTGTATACGTACTCTATATTTTAGTGATCCATTTTGTGTTATCTTTTATTTATTTTAGTTCTGTTATTTCTTACCAGGAGTCTGGATTGTGAATCAAGTTTGTTAAGGGGAGCGTCTGGTCAAAATTTTTTAATTTTGGCTTTTCCGGTTTTTAATCTTGTCTTAAAGCTGACATTCTGCTCTATTCAACGGTACCAAAATCATTTCTGTAAGTTGATTTATGCGTTCACGACAGATCGCGAAAGGGTGGGGGGTGGTGGAGTTCTTTCACATTTAGGATAGTCAATGAGACATATACCATTCAATGCGCAACAAAATTATCTACAACGGAACACAGGCGTTGTTCTAATTTCGTTACAGTTTGGATTTTATTCCGCAAAAACGGGGGTGGCGGGGGGGGGGGAAATTGAAAAATTTTCCAAAAATTCATGAAAAATGCTCCCACACCCATAAAGATGAGAAATCCTAAAAACCGTCATGTTCTGTTTTAGATATGGTCTTTACACATCGAATGATATGTGTCTCGATGTTGTAGCTTGAAAATCCTGGGAGGAGATAGATTTCTACGGTACCCCCCTTTTTGGCCGTTTTCTAAAAATTTCACGTTTTCTTTCATTTTTTTCGAAAAATTTACACAAACAAAAATGTCTTAGAATTTTGTTTTACATATGTGTACCAAGTTTCAGAGTGATCCGTCCGTAAATAGCCGAGATAAATTTTACCCCAGACGCTCCCCTTAAATAAACTGGATATACACTACCTATGAATAAAGTGGCACATTATTAGCCGAGGAGATATACAATTGAGAATCTGGGGCGGGTCCCTTACAATGTACAATGAATTTTACATTTCATTTTAAAATATTAAGAACAATTAGTTTTCAAAATTTTTTAATATAAAAAATTGTTACTATAATTTTCAAAATTATTCATTCTGTCAACTGATTCATGCATTGTCTCTGACTTTATGCAAGTGTGGAAAATTTCAGATCACTTGGAGAGGTATGTGTGTTAAACATTGAATATAAGATTTGTAGCACACAAAATGATTTTATTTTTTTTTTAATATTGAAATTTTTTTCAATTTTTTAAATTATTTATCATTATCTCTGACTTTATGCAAGTGTGCAAAATTTCAGATTGATTGGACAGGTAGTGTGTTAAATACTGATTAAAAGATTTATAGCAGACAGACAAGAAGTGAAGTTAAAGAGAAGTGTTGTAAAAATATCTGGTTTGCCAATATGGCTCAAGTTTTTATATATTTAATAAAAATGGCTCCATGCTTCATATTAAAACATCATTTAAAATGACATTTAGAAATATTTTTAGGGAAGGAATTAAAATTTTTTCAAATGTTTGAAGAACTACCTAATCAAAAGAACTAAAAAGAATTAAGGAAGGCATAATTCATCAATATCGCATCTTTAAAATGGCCGGCGACGCTTTGGGCTTAAAAATCCATATATTGCCGACGCTGCATCCACCCTCTGCATAGTGGGTACCTACTTCTGTGGTTGGTCTGTCTCAGACTCTCAGTATAGTAAAAAAAAAATGTATGTCATACAAACAAATTTCACTGGAAAAAAATGCAGACAAGTGTTGGCTGTAGAACTTTATTGACAGAATTTGCATTCCTCAATTGAAAACAAAATATCAAAATGACAGCCATTTCTGCCAGATGGACCATGGCCCATGGGGTAGGATAAACGCTATATATTCCGACACTTTAACTTATTATACCTAGGACTCAAAAATGAACTTTAGGGAGAGTCCAAAAAAACTCTCTGCTTTGCTACCTACTTGGTCACTAAAATATTCCTTTCTGTTTCAGCCTTTCAGGTACTGTCAAACGGAGTAATAAGCAGTGGTGGGCACAGTTCCGCTTATCCGCTAATTAGCGAAGCTAACTTTTTAAAAACGAAAAGATGGGTATGCCCCCAGCCCCATGGTTGAACTACTAACTACATAACTATGGCCAGGGTATGACCCTGGCCGGGTCGACTGCCGAAGACCACAGTCCACAACTGCCCTGGATGTAATGGACTATCATGATTCCTGCCTTCCGGAACGTAGCCTTCAACACTTCAAGCCGTCCGTATCTNCTCACGACTCACTGCTCCAAATTCTGCTGTGCTTAACTGCCCGGCCTCCTCGCCGATTCAGGAGTACCTAGATTGGCGCCGAGAGGCGTGTGTTCGATACCGGCTCTGTGCGCCAGTTTCTGGCTGAACTGTAACCACTGGGCCACTGTGGTTAGGTGTCGAAGGAGTGGGCCTGTGTGGTTACGTGTTTGGGTCGAAGGAGCTCAATCCAAACCAAAGTGTGGGCTATGCACTGCCAAATAGTGCCAATACGCGGGCGAAGATCCTAAGCATGTGCTGTGGCTTTAATTTGACATGAGACTGAGTTCAAAATAAAAGTGTGCATTTCACTTACAAATTATCGTTCAGTAATCCTTGCAGAGCTAAGCAGCATGTGTATAAAACCACCCAGGTTGTAACGTCGAGCATGCACTCTGAGTGCGTAAAATGACTCGGTTACTGCGTTAATCAGCTATTTCTCCAAATTGACACTCTGATTTAAATTAATTTTTTTATTTATTTTTTAAAACTATGATATTCGAGTCGAAAGTTCAAGCTGATGAACTTGGAAGAGCCCGGCATACAGGTAGAAATTTTCACGACTCTATGTACAATTGTCAAAAAATTTAAGTATTCTTGAAATAAAACAGAGCATTCGAAACTGAAACTGTCCTACTAGAGAAATTATTCTTCTAAGAAGTTTCAGCATTTTT